GCCCAGGCCCAGAGTTCAGGCCCCACGACCGGACCCAAAAAAAAAAGAACTCCTCTCTTGAGCTAGGCACCCGTGGCTCATGCCTATAATCCTAGCTATTTAGGAAGCTGAGATCTGAGGATCGAGGTTCAAAGCCAGCCTGGGCAGGAAAGTCCTAGAGACTCTTATCTCCAATAAACTACACAGAAAACACTGGAAGTGGTACTGTGGCTCAAGTAGCTGAATGCCATCTTTGAGTGCAAAAGCTGAGATAGTTCCCAGGCTCTGAGTTCAAGCCCGCAGGTCCAGGGAGGAGCAGGAGGGGAGGAGGAGGGGGAGGAGGAGAAGGGAAAGGAGAAGGGGAGGGGAAGGAGGAGGCGAGGGAGGAGAAGGTTAATTTCTCTTCTCTCCATTCTTCCTTCCAGGCCCTTAGGCCCAGAACTACCCCATTACCCCATCTAGGACCCAGAACAGCCAGTGGGCATGACGTCCCATCGCATGACGTCCCATCCCTGGGTCCTCTTGGGAGGGAAAGGAGAAATGCTGGTGACATCACAGTTTCCTGTCCTTTCAGGGACCCTGAAGGGGAAGATGGAGGAGAACTGGTCCTGGGGGGCTCAGACCCGGATCACTACGTCCCACCCCTCACCTTCATACCTATCACGAAGCCCACTTACTGGCAGATCCGCATGCAGCGGTGAGCACCTTGGCCTCCTGATCTGGAGCTGGGGGGCTGGAGCTCTAGGACCCTGCCTCTAACGAGAGTCCCCTTCTCCTCCTCAGTGTGCAGGTGGGCACAGGGCTGACTCTGTGTGCCCAGGGCTGTGCTGCCATCCTGGACACAGGAACCTCCCTCATCACGGGGCCCAGTGAGGAGATCCACACCCTGCATGCCACCATTGGGGGGTTTCCTCTCTTCACAGGGCAGGTTAGGACCAGCGGTGGTGGGCGTGGGCTGGGAGAAGCTGATGGCAGTCATAGGACAGGATGTAGGGGCTTGAGGGTGGAAAGCAAGTAGCTGTCTGAAGAGAGGATAGATCTGTGAGGATAATAAGAGGAAGCAAGGACACATCCCAGGATCTGTGCTGAGTGACTCAGGAGTAGTGATGGGAGAGGGTTGGTTAAGAATGAAGGCTCTGGTGGCTCATGCCTGTCATCCTAGTTACTCAGGAGGCTGAGATCTGAGGATCACAGTTCAAAGCCAGCCAGACTGGGCTTCTTCAGCGAATCAGCTAAGAACCAAGCAAAAGCACAAGGCTCTGAGTTCAAGCGCCAGTACTGGCAATCACAGAAAAGTAGTTTTTTGTTTTAAGAAGTAGGTCTCCCTTCCAGGTAGTAGAAAAGTTTCTTAGGAAAAGCATACAGTTTCAATAGATGGCAAACAGGGTGAGAATTAGGGCGAGAATTATTGAAGACTCAATGAGAGAAGTCTCTCATTCAGAGACTTAAAGGACAAGTCTGGGACATTCCCCTAGGATACCGGGGAGCCAGAGGAACTGGAGCAGAGCAGGAACCTCCTACTTTCACGGCTTCTTCTTCTCCCCTAGTACCTCATTCACTGCTCCAGGGTCCCAGTGCTCCCCGCTGTCTCCTTCCTCCTTGGTGGGGCCTGGTTTAACCTCACAGCCCAGGACTATGTCATCCAAGTAAGTGGCCTCCATGATGACTGGGCTTGCAGGCTGGATCTGGGGGCATAGCTTCATAAGGCCCGGCTAGGGTTGGGGGCGGGGGGGGGCGGTCCTGTTACATAGCCCAGGCTGGTTCCAAACTCTGTATCCTTCTGCCTCAGCCCCCTGGGTCAGTGATTACAGGCGGGATCCACCACTCCTGGCCTACAAGCATTTCTGGTGTGGCCCCAGGGTCGCTGAGCAGCCTCCTCTCTTCATCTTGCAGATTTCTCAGGGTGGCTTCCGCCTCTGCTTGTCTGGCTTCCAGGCCTTGGATGTGCCTCCGCCCGCAGGTCCCCTCTGGATCCTCGGCGACGTCTTCCTGGGGACCTACCTGGCTGTCTTCGATCGCGGGGACTCGAACGCGGGAGCCCGCGTAGGCCTCGCGCGCGCGCGTTCTCGCGAGGCGCAGCGGCGAGGCGGAAATGCGCACGCGTAGTTCGCGGCCTCCCTCCCCCCCCCCCCCC